CCAATAAAGTAACAGTCCTTATTCACAAGCAAGAAACTACCCACACCATCAAGCCTTGCTGCCTAAACTGAATGGCAGCTAATTACTTCTGCTGCACATTACCACCTAGCTTGGCCTACACAAGAAACAATGTCATGGGAAGGAGAACAGGATGAGGGGAGAAGAGAAGCAGAATCTCTTAACAGAGAAGCAATGGATTAACAAAAATTAAGCTAGCTAATTTGCTGTGGTTCCCCCTGCACTAACTTGTACCTAGGACTGCTACAGGAAAGACTCATCTGTGGTAACTAGATCACACTGGCCTGCACTGTATTTGAAGCCATGAATGAAACTGAACAAAGGGGGAAGAAACATCTTTAACCATTGCTAGTGGAATGAATACAATAACTGAGAAATTTTTTTCTATCTCTGTACCTATTTCTGTGGACTTCAGCATGTCCTTTCATCTCTCTGCTTCTCAAATGCTGACTGTGCTGGTTATGCCCCTAAAACAGGAGCAATAAATCTTCTGTATTTCACTGGATTGCTGGGCAGCTTCATTTGCTAATAACATGATGTGCTTTGTTCACCTGCTGATAAAATTAAGTGCTTCAAAGAGCCTCAGCAGATGCTATGCAAGTTAAAAGCACCAAAGAACCAGTCTTTAGGCTGACACATAGGCTAGATTTTTGTTCCTGATGAATGAGCTGGGGGCATATGGCCCAAATGCCGTATTTCCCAGATGTGAACAAAAAGACCCATTTGATTCTACCCAGCGGCACGTAAGACCCCCTAGAAACTGCAGCACAGTTTCACCACGTGCAGCTATCAAACAAGAAATTTTAATACATACTACCATTTGAATTATGAATTTAACACATTACATTGCACTGTAAAAATAAGGTGCATTAATGCTTAAGCATGTGTATTACATCTTGAATACTGTATACAGTTCTAGTGTGTAACTCAAAAAAGATATGAAGAAGAGCAAAAAGACAGCATGGAAATGAACAGTAGCAGTATCTTACTCATCATCTGGAAGGCTGGGGACAACACAGAAAGGTGGAGTCTGCACCAGAAGTGACTTCAATTCTCTTGCTTCATCATCGTCTTCATACTAGACATTCAGAATAACTGTTACCGCACTCTATTTGATCACAAACATACCCACCATTCAACGTTTGACCCTTCTACTGCGTGCAAATGAAGATCGAATCATGAGGAGATGAACCCACACAAATCCCATTTGTTTCAATCGCTGTGCTGCCAGCAATAATGTAATTATGCTGTAGACCAATCTGTGCCATATGTAATCTTTGTCCCTATATTTAACAGTAGTACCTGATCAGGTATAGAATCTTCAAAATATTTGATAAATGGCAATGCAACATAAGGGATGATGCAGGTTTTTAAAGAATTAATGCAATTTAATAACATAATTATTATAAACTCTACTGGAAATAGCAGAACATATATCCCCATGTCAATCTTTAAAATCTCAACTCAGAGCAGGTCTTCCCACCGTGTCAGGGACTGAATGTTCACCACTGGTTTACGTTTGGAGTTCCCTCTCAACTTCCATGGGTCAGATCCTGATTCTCTCATGCAATATGATAATCCTCTAGCAGTCCTTTATTATCATCAGTTTACCCTGAACTGTGTCATCAGATCACGCTCTTAAGGTCACTCTCAGCCGCCTGGTTATTTTCTATAAAATTGTTTTTTGTAAACAGATGTCCTCTCTTTTTGCAAGTGTTGCTGCCTCTCCTTATTTCCAGTGTTAGAACTTGCTATAAACCCTGCATCAGCTGGTTTAAAGCTTTTATTTCCTCTAAGCCCTGCACACCAGACATAGATTTCATTACAACCTTCACCTGAAACTTCAGGACAGGCCCATCAGTGTTTATTTTCGAACTAATGCTCTCTGCCACAATCATTCCCAGGCGCCGTATTTGTGGCAGATTGCTGTCCAAGTGGCATTTCACACCCTCCATCATGCTTGTGAGAAGCTCTGAAAAAAAAAAAAAAAAAACAACAAACAGTGCATGAAACAATGACAGAAACAAACATCCATCTTTATGGCAGTTCCCTGAGAGGGCATCTTTAGCCACTCACCACCCAGTAATGGGAAGAAAGATAGGAAGGGCCCATGCAACCGTGACTTCTCTTTCTGCAATGGCAGTATTGCCCCTCAGCACCAATATAATAAACCCATGCTTTTTCATGGGGTACAAAGTCAACAAAACATTACCGTATATTCTAAATTTGGAATATTTTGTTTTTCACTGAAACAAAAAACGATGGTAAGTCAAGTCAATCTTTAGCTTGTTTTTAGAGTGCTTCAAAGCCACTTAAGTGAAACGCCATGTTTTGAGGGAGCTACAAATTCTGACCAGTACAACAACCATGGAGGAAGAAATTTCCCTCACCACCTAGGTAAGTTGAAACAGGCAGATAACACCAGTATTTCTCAGCCCACAGAGAATGGTGGCTGCCAGCTTTACCAAGCAGGGTTACTGCTGTCAGACTGACCTCCTTCAACTCAGAAAAGCTTATCTTTTCAACTGCTGTCAGATAAAAAACAGATTAAAAAACTACAGTACTGTTATTTACTAACATGTCACTTATTCACCTAAAGAAGAATTAATTCTAGAATGAAACAGATGAACAGGTCTTGTAAGTTAACCCTCTCCCCCAACAGAAGCCACCCACACAGACAAGTAACTCTAGACAATGGACAGAAATTTTCTTTTTTATTGCAACAGAAACAGAAATTTTAGAGCAGGACTCCAGCATGCTACGCACTGTATAAATACAGAATAGGAGGTCCTTGCTGGTAACTCACTAACCCTACTCACCCCACACTGAGGGGAGCAGAATGACACTGAGGAACGCACCAAACAGCTTTTTTATGCTGATGTGCTTTCCCCAGTCCCCTTTAGGAGCCTTACTTGTGCTCCAACGGTAAGCCTACAAATGGCAAATCACATCATTCCTCTAACCAGTCCCCGAGTCAAAATCCTTGTTTTCCTGTGACAAAACTTAAGCGTTCCTAACCACTGTTCAGGTAAGAACCTTAGTTCAAAGACACGCTTCTCCAACTTCATAATTTGAACGTATGCACGTGGAATTATATATCAGTGCTAAAGAAAAGGAGGATTCCAGCAGGCTACCCCATTTGCCAAGATGAAGATGGGACAATTTTCTTTTATCCATAGATCAAAACAAGATGTTCTTCTACGCACAGTCAGACCTTCTGTTAAACAAACCTAACCCCTGATTCTCCCACTGCCTCACCTTGTCTGCAGCTCTCGATTTCAGGCTCCTTCAGGTGGGAGAGGCAGATAAGGATGGCCTTGCTAATATACTGCTGCTGCTCAGGTGGAGAGTGTTTCACAGCACTGCTGCTGCCCCAGGTCTCCAACAGTTCTTGCAGCACCTGAATAAGAAAACTCAAGCTGGCTTGAAATGGATCTTTTCTACACACGTAATTTTTTGAAGCATATTTTTGAAATGTGCTTTCATACAGCACATTGTATGTTCTGATGGCTCTTTACTCTTCATGCTTCCCAGTGAACTTTACACTCCCTACAAATGGAGCTAACTTTGTATTTCAGGGCCCAAAATGTACTGAGACCAGCTGAGAACTCCACACCACCTTCATTGAACATATTGTTAAATATAATTTTTTTTACTTAAAAGTGATAAATATTATATGCAAGCAATATGTATTATTGTCAAAAACCAGTATGATATGATATTGTTTTATTTGGTTTTAGTCCAATCTTATATAGTTGCCAGTACTTCCAGGTAATTAGAATAACAGAGCATGTAACCAGTACAAAAAAACCAAACAAAAAAAACCAAACAAAAAAAAACATTGCCAAACAGTAGAGATTTCCAGAGACACAAATTTCCTAGAAGTTCCATCACAATGCTGACTGGGAGAGGGAAAATATCCACATCCCCACTGAGAAAAATGTAGAGGAGACAGATTCTGAAGCATCAATCATTTGCCACACAGACAGCTCTCAAACAACTTAGAATCATAGAATGGTTTGGGTTGGA